GGCTAATTAAAAATAATTACATAGATAAAATATGAATCAAATTCTATTCATGGAGCATTAAGTAATGACGGGAAATATTTAGTAACTTGGGATAAGGTTGGACTGAAATATCAGACATATCAAATATTGATTGATTGAATATTCAAAAAATAAATCATAATTATTCAAATTATATTGTTTAAAATATACCAAATAATAAATATAATATTAGATTCAAGTTTATTGATAAATATCTTGATATAAAAATAGTCAATATTGAACAAAATAAAAATATTTTAAAATTTCTTTAGAACTATTTTAAATAGAATCTGTTTTTAAAAATTTATCAACATTCATGATAAATGAAAATAGTTTAGAATTTGGAAAAATGAGCAACATTACAAAAAACAAAGCTTCAAATGAATGTAATCCATAATTTGTTAGCTATTAGCAACATCATAAATATCAAGTCATCCGGTAAGATACTTTTTTGAACAATCAGTTGCTTTTACTGATTTGTAAATTCTTTAATTAGCTATATTTTTTATAAATATTTTCGATAATTAATTTTAGTTCATATGAGAATTTAGAAAAATAGTATAATACATTTTATTTATTTCTTAAATGCTTGCATTTAAGAAATAAATAGAATATAAAAAGATACAATAATTTTGAGTACATTTTAAAATACATTTGGAATGTTCTTTGGTTAGATCAATTAAAAAATAAATAATTGTTTATTTCAATATTTTTCATATATATAAGCCATGGAATCAATTTAAAAATGTTGATTTTAAATTGATATTGAGGTTTTCAATTTTATGATATATTCTAATCTATACAAGACAATTATTTTAAATTTTCATTTCTTTAATAAATACTTGACTATGTTTGTATAATAAAAATTATTTGAATATTTGAAAAGCGAGTAATAAATTTATATAGATTAAGTTTTTCGTTCAACAGATTATTTTATAAATCTCTTTATACGAGAAGCATGATAAACAATATAATTGAAATCAGTTTAAAAAATATTATTACTTCTCCAATACAAATTTAAAATTTAATTATATTTTAAAAGTGACCATCTTTTTAATATATATCCGCAAGTACAAAACAAAAATTATCATGTTTAAACTGTGATTTCAACTGATTGTGCCATTTGAAAATAGATAATAATTTTTTATATAAAACATCTGAATTAGAAAAAATAAAATAATTAAATACTTTTATTTATAGATACAATATAAAAATTTAAGCTTAATCTCATTAGATTTCGATTTCAATTAGAAATCAATCTCAAGAATAGGCCTATGAACACACAAGTATGGAAAAATTGGTTCTAAATTTTTAATTGTAAAGTAAGATGCTTTTTTACTTTAAGGGATGCTTCTTATAAGTTTCAACAAGTACTTTAAGTTCAATTAAAGCAATTATTTCAGGTTTAATAATATAATACAATATTAATAAGTGCAAATACAGTTACTAAAGAATGATTATCTAGATGATAATAGAGATTTAAAAAATTTTAGAGAGAGAAGTGAAAGAAATTGATAAATTAGAAGTAGATAGATTGCTTGTTCAAAAAACATATTATTAATCAACATTAGTTAGAAGAAAGTCTAGGTTTTGCAAGATTAAGAGAGAAAATTGAAAGAATTAATGAGTAAATCGATCTATTTATATATTGAATGACTTCAAAGAAATGCAAGTTACCAAGAATGGTCAATTTATTATTTATTTGTAACATAAAACTAGAATAGTTAAAACTAAATTATCAAATAGTATTTTTAGTGACATATTCAAAATTAGTTAGTGTTATCAATTATGCAAAATGTAGAAAGAAGATCTAAAAAGATTATTGTTTTGAAATATATTAATTTTAGATTTGAACTGAATCAATCCTGTTACAAAAATTCTGAATATTTATTTATATATATTGGTTTTTGAAATGTTTCTTTTCAATTTATAAAAAGTAAAATCTTTTCTATTTTTGATTTAGAAAGCCTTTTTTGAAATAAACTTTAAAATTTTATCAATAAAGTCATCAAATTTATATTATGATAATCTTCCATGAGAATATGTATTTACAAGTAAAAAATGTAGTTAGAATGCTATCTGAATGTTCAAAAATTGAATCAACCTCAGTTTAATCTTACAGTCTCTTTATTTCTAATTTAGATTTGCAATTCCGAATTTCATAAATTGATCTTGAAAAACTCCAATAAACAACATGCATAATAATTTAATTAAATTGAAATTAACAATACAAATAATTTATGGAATCATATGATTATTTACACTTTTGTATTAGCATAAACTCTTCAAATAAGGTGTTTTATCTGGTTAAAATAATTAAGTTACTAAAATCACTTGCAACATTCTGGGGAAAAAATAACATATTTATTTTTTATCCTACACTAATACAGCTGTGACCAAATTTTAGAATTTCAAAAAAAATATGGATATAAGATATTTGTGTTGATTAAATATTCGCCACGAGAATCTAATAAAATGGGAAAAATTTGGCGTTTGATATATCTCAAGATCAGATAAACAGTTATAATGCTATACATGATTAATTGTCACTAAAATTTAACTTGCATATTTAAGCAATTTTAATATCTAGAGAGACTCTTAATTATAAATTTCTCTAACAGATATAAGCATTTTAGAAATATTAAATAACTTTTCAAATAATATATTAGGAATTAAGAGATAATATATCCTTTTTTTAGCATATTTTCAATTTTAATTTATACCTTAGCAGAAGATTTTTAATATGTTTTATTATTTACTTTTAAATTTATCAAAATTATAGTCCAATATTTTAAACTAAGTTAATAAAATATTCCCTTCACTTACGTATTCATAAATCTTCCTGCTAATTATATTAGATTAATCTTTATTTTGAGCAACCTAATAATTGAATGCTATAATAAAAAGAAATTTACACAAACAAAGCCAAGTTTTTATCCATTTAAATCCTGAAATTTAAAAGGCTTAGTTTTAAATTTCATCCAATAGATAGAATGATTCATAAAAAAGTTACATATCTTAGTTCAAAATTGTCAAGTATTTAATATAGCTTGAGAATATAATATTTCTGAAGATTTCAGGTAAAGCCAACTTTTTATTCATTTAAATTTTTTAAGAAATAATTATCAATTTCTATATAAAAAATGGTATTTCAATTACAGCGATTTTCCTTATCAAATAAGTAGATATCGACTAAATCTACAAATTAAAAAATAGTAGCTATTTTAGAAAAGTTTATAAAGTTTTTAAATATTGATAATTTATTAATATCAAAAAGTAAGATAATCTTCTGCTTCTTCTTTTCTTTAGTATAGAAATCAAAGACTTCTATGGATTATTATTTGTGCACTAATTTCATAGATATATATATAGAATTTTCTTTGAAATGAAAACAATAATTTGTAATAAGTAAAAATTGTATGATTGAATAAATAAGACGGTTGCTCTTCCTAAACTATAAATTTTGAAAGTAATCAAAGAGGATTTTTAAGAGTAAATGTAATAATATTCTATAACTCAGCAACAATTAATAAAGTCAAAACTAGTCCTGAAAGGATTGATATTAATCTATGAATAAATCTTTTTTAATTTATCTGTTTAAAAAATCTCATGCAATTAAATACATTGTCTGTTCATCTAATTTGATCATCATGTTCTTTCATAAGTATTTAATCATTTAATGTACCCATACAAAAATTCCATTTATTGTTACTTAATGAAGATTTTGTATATAATTATTAATTTGTCAGTATCCCTGTTGTTGAAAAAATACTTTATTGAGATCTTGTTGATTTTTATCCTTAATATAATTTAAAAATTTAAAAGTTCAGACTAATTAAGATCTACCAGTATTAAGTAAATTCAATGGATAAATTAAAGATATTAATATGAAGATAAATTAAGGAGAGGCTATCAATCAACATATGTTATGTTATTCATATCTTGATATTTAATCTTAAGTTTTTATATGGAGAATTGTAGGTTTAGTTATAATAAAGAAAAAAAAATAGGCTTGCCTTCTCTTGAGTAGTTTAAAATACTTCAATGCTTTATCTCTCATTTAGGAATTTGATAAAACAAAATAAGTTAAATTTTAGTTTTTGTAGAGCCAAGTTCAAAATATGAAGGTCTATCATGATCTTATAAGGGTTGAAGCTTAGAAAAAAATCAAAGTGGAATTATCATAATATATGTGACCATATTCAATTCATTTTATATTTTGATTTTATTTTCATAAAATTGGAAGATTAGTTCAAATTCTAATTTGTTTAAATCTGCTCTCAATCTTTCCTCGTCTTCTGAAATATACATGAAAATCTTATCTTTAAGAAATTAAGCGATTTGATTTCATTTTAGGTGAAGGAACTTTAATAGTTCATTTTATAAATATGTTTTGCAATTTACAGATAAAATGAGAATACCTAGATCAGCTTTAGTATCACAAAACTTAATAAAATTGTCAAATATATATAATATTAAAGAAGACTAACTTATATAACCTTAATTTTATTATAATCGATTTTTACCTTTTCTAAACATCAATCAAATAGTTTTTATTATCATTCAAGAAGATTATTATAATTTTTTAACTGTTGAAATGTGAATTGGAATTAAAATTAACTCTAAAATATTCCATATGAATTTGAAATTTAATTAATTCAATTTACTTAAAGTTGAGATTATAGTATTAGAACACAAGGTAACCCAATTTTAATTGTGTTTCATTTGCACTCGATTATAATTACTACAAAGACGAAAGCATTTAATTGCATGTAAATATTAAATGCAAAAGTTAATTTTAAAATTAGAATTCTTTTAATGATATTTTTTCTTATTAATTTATTATTTATCCCTTATAATCAAATAAAAAAATAAAAATAACATTTTAGATATACTCTTCTTTTTCCTTCTGTCCATTTTGAAACCATGTTTGGAGATCTGTTTAAACTTGTA